GGTATTGAGGAGTTGGGGGAGAGGGAGGGGGCAGAGTGGATGATAAGGGAGGGGGTGGGGGCAGGGGGCAGAAATGACCCAAGCTTTGTATGCACATATGAATTAAAAAAAAAAAGAAAAAAAAAAGTCTGGCTTCCCATAGAGTGAGTGATCCAGAAGAGGGGAAGGGGGAAGCTGCATTGTGCCCTCAGCTCACAATTCACACTCATTTCCACAGTAACCTGTCAACCTTGCCCAGTGCAGGAGGAGACTATACAAGGTCTGGGAATCATGGGGTGGTCATTTTGTTGGCTGGCCACCAAAGGAGCAAGGACCAAAAGTGGAGGGCTTCAAGGTCACATATATTAGTTTCTTGGGGCTGCTGTAACAAGTCACTGCACATTTGGTGGGGCTTAAGACAGTGTACAGTCTAGAGATAAGAAGCCTGAAGTCAGCCTCACTGGTCTGGAATTAAGGTGTGAACAGAGCCACCCTCCCTACTGAGATTCTTTTCCAGCTATGAGAACTGTAGACCTGGCATTCCTTGCCTTGTGGCCTTTTGTCACTCTTCAAAACTAGCAGTGTAGCATTTTGCTTTAGTGGTCATATTACCTCTGTCTTCAAAGGTCAGATCTCCCTCTTTGCCTGTTATAAAGAAGCCGTGGGCTGGGGATGTAGCTCAGTGGTAGATCACTTGCCTAGCATCCTCAAGGCTCTGGGTTCAATCCCCAGCCCTTCAAGGAAAAAACCCAAGAATTTATGGCTGCATTTAGGACACACCTGAATAATCCATGATACCTCCCAGTTTTAACATCCTAATAACATCTGCAAAGTCTATTTTGCTATATACTCTGACATTCACAAGTTGTAGAAAGTAAGACCTGGGTATCTTTGGGGGACATTATTTAGCCTACTACAACCAGGCTTTAGGTACAATGTCATACTGTATTCAGAGGTGACAAGGGTCCATTCAAGTGTATGAAGCAGAACTGGCATGAAGTTGGAAAAAAACTACTCAGGTGTCTGAGGGATGGGGTTAAGAGAGATAACTGAGAGCTGTACTTAGGCAGTGGGAAAAGAGTGGGAGGTGGGGCCTAGTGACCAGATGCTGGCTGGTGCTAGGGTGGCCTGGTAAGCAGTAGAAGTACACATGCAGGACAGAGGTCTGAGCACAGCCCTTCCTCTCTAGACCCCAGAAATGCAAGGCAAGAGGGCTACATAGAGACTCACAGATACCAAGGAGCATGAATTCCTGTATGGGGACCAAGAGGAGACAGCAGTAGAAGTATGTATGCAGGACAGAGGTCTGAGCACAGCCCCTCCCCTCTAGGCACCAAAAGTGCAAGGCAAGAAGACTTCAGGAATACTCACAGATAACATGGAACAGGCTCCTCCTGAATTCCAAGAGGAGATAGGAAGGGTGCCTCCTTATGTGATGTCACTGAGAGATCTCACGGCCAAGGTGGACCAGTACTCAATGGACCTGGTTTCTGGGCTGTCACCAGCAACCCATTCAGAATAGGCCATGATGGCTTGTGGGGCTGAGAGGAAATGTATCAGATTGGCAGACCTGAGTGGAAAATGAAGGCACAGGGATGGGAACAGAGACCTCTGTTTTTCAAGCAAAAGCTTGTGCATATTTCCTGTCAGGCACATACCACCTGCACAAAAATTTCTTTAGCATTGCTAAGTCTACTTATGTTTTCTTAAAAGGAAATAGATTTTTAAAAATTGAAGTGTTTGGGGTGTGGCTTTTGATTTGTATTTCTCTGGTCACTATAGTGATATTGAATTTTATTTTATTTTATTATTTATTTAATTTTTTGCAAAACTGGGGATTGAACCCAGGGCCTTATATTGCTAGGTGCGCGATCTACCTTTTGTTTTGTTTTATTTATTTTTTGAGATAATGTCTTGCTAACTTTTGCTTGGGCTGGACTCAAATTTTTGATCCTCCTGCCTATGCCTCCCAAGTAACTGGGACTCTATAGGTATGAGCCACCACACCCAGCTTGAACATCCTTTCATGTGCTTATTTGCCATTTGTATATCTTCTTTTATAACTTCTTTGAAGAAACATCTTTTGAGGTTCTTTGCTTCTTTTAATTAGATTGTCTTTTTTTTATTGAGTTGTGAGAGTTCTTATGTTCCTCCCACCTTTGATAGTACTGGGGTTTGAATTTAGGGCCTTGCACTTGCTAGGCAGATACCTTACCCATGAGCCATAACCCTAACTCTTTTTTGCTTTAGTTTATTTTTCAGCTAGTGTCTCATGCTTTTGCCCAGAGTCAACCTCAGGCTGCAATCTTCCTACCTCTACCTCCAGAATAGCTAGAATTATGCATGCACTACCATGCCTGGCCCTATCAGAGTGCTTTATATGTTCAAGATACAATTCTCTTTTCAGATATGTGATTTGTGTTTACTATGTATTGTTCACTTTCTTCAGAGTAGCCTTTGAACCACAAAAGCTTTTAGTTTTGATGAAGTCAGAATTTCTTCACATTTTCTTTTGTTTGTGCTTTTGATTTCATATCCAAGAACCCTTTGCCAAATCCAGGGTCATAAAGATTCATCCTATGCATTCTTCTAAGTGTTTTTTACGCTTAGCTTTAGCTCTTATATTTGTATATTTGTTTCATTTTGAGTTAATTTTCATATATGGTATGAGGTGGGGAGCCAGCTTTGTCTTTTTTTGCATGTGATTTTATTCATTTGTTCTATAGGAAGTGTTTTTCAGTCACTTAATTCCCATCTCAGCCCAAAAGGGTGATGTTTTGTATACATGGAAACTGGGAGGCAGAGATAGGTACATACTTGGTGCCTCTTGGGAAAGAAGTAGCTGAACCAAGACTCTGATCTGGATATATCTGGCTTTCAAGTGTGGCAACAGCCAGCCTACAGAGGGTTTTGTGGGACATGTTACCACAGTTGATATGTTGTATCAATTTACAGAAGTTGAAGTTTTCTACTTAAAAATCAGGCCTTATTTCCACCTTGTGTCCAGAGATTGGCAGTTCTGAATACATGAGCTCTATATGTGCCTGCATTCGGTCAGTTCTCAGTCCCTCCTGCCCCTTTAGACAGGGAATATACTGCCTATAACTTCTGGCCCTTCTCCTCACAGGGTAAGCCCTTGTATGGGCTCTTAAGCTTGCCAGCTTCAGTCACGTGAGCCTTCTGGCCCTGACTGTACATCACCCTTTTCAGGGAGGATAAGCTAAGGATCAGTGACTATATTAGTTAGCTCTTGCTGATTAACAGCCTATCCCAAAACTTTGTATCTTAAAACAGCAGTCAGTGGGTTAGGCTGTTTTCTGCTGGCACTCTGATCTGTCTGGTTAGTTGTAGGTCAGCTGTGGTTGCCTTTATGGATTTTGCTGGTTGTATTCACATATCCTCACTATGTAACTTACATGAGTGGCCCAGTAGGTGGCCAGTGAGACCTGACTTAGAACCTAACATTCTCTTAGAACATCTGCCTGCCCATTTTCTCCTTTTCCAGTCTTCCTCCACGGGGAAGTACTAATGGAGATAGTCCAACTGATTGGGAATGTGTATGATATTTCAGGAGCCAGTGACCTTCCGGGATGTGGCTGTAGACTTCACCCAAGAGGAGTGGGGACAGCTGGATCCTACCCAGAGGACTCTGTACCGTGATGTGATGCTGGAGACCTTTGGGCACCTGCTTTCTGTGGGTAAGGCCTGCTTCCCAAGCTGTGGTGGCTGACTCTTCCTAAGTTATAGATTATAGGTCTTTGGTGTAAGGATCTTACCTGAGTCCTCATTGCTTGTGGGGTGCCTATGTGAGAGAGGAAGAGGGTCTGTCCTTTGTATCCTAGTGCAAAGACTTATTGTGAGTTATTCATCTGTCCTATTGGTCTGGGCTGTAGCCTGTACTGATTCTTTACTTCCAGAGCAGCCTCCAACCTCCTGTGCCTTTTCCTCTTTCCAGGTCCTGAGCTTCCCAAACCTGACGTCATCTCCCAGCTGGAGCAAGGGGCTGAGCTCTGGGTGGTTGGGAGAAGAGTCACCCAAACCTGCCATCCAGGTGAGAACCCACCAAGTGGATGTCCCTAACAGGGTATCCCAAGAGGCCCCTGGAGATGCCATTGATAAGGGTAGTGTTCCAGGGTTCTCAAGACCACACCCTTTCTTAGGAGGCCTCAGAGGACTCACACCCATGAAAAATTATGGCCAAAGGATACAGAGCAAAACCAGCAAAAGAAAAAGGTTCATGAGGCAAAGTCCAAAGGAAACCGGACACAAGCTTCTTGGTCCTCTACCTATGGAGTCACACTGGATGTGCTCGGTTTTCCCAGCAGTGAGTTGTGACAACAAATGATGAATATTCTCTCCAGGGAGTCTGGTTAGAGACTTAGCATCCTGGTGGCCAGTCAGTCACACCGGCACCCTCTGCCTAGCATGTATCAAGATTGCAGTATTTGGAGGCTGGGCACCAGTGGCTTCTCCTGTAATCCTAACTACTTGGGAGGCTGAGATTGGGAGAATCATGGTTCAGGACCAGTCCTGCAAAAAGTTTGGAGGACCCTATCTTCAAAAATAACTAAAGCAAAGTAAACTGGAGGTGTGGCTCAAGTGGTGGAGTGCCTGCTTTGCATGTGTAAAACCCTGAGTTCAAAGTCTGCCCCATAGACACACAAAAACAAAAATAAAAAATGATTCCAATATTTGGAGTAAGCCTCATTGTGTGTGCAGTGTGGGTGCCATGAACCACTCCTACCAGTTAGGATGGTGGGAACCCTTTCCAAATCCAAGTTCCCAGATACAGGGCAAACCTTAGCCTGCCCTGTCAACTATTCCTGCATAGTGCTCCACAGCCTCCTCACCTGTGATCTCCCTCCTATTAGTACCAAGGTTATTTGCCTCCTCTCCAGTGATGGGAATCCTGCCCATTTTGTCTTCTGTCATCCTTTCCAGATCATGCCCTCTCTTTCCTGCATGCCCTTCTTGGTGTGTGAACCTATGCTTTATTGTTTCTATTTTGTTCTTGCATATCTAGATTATATAAACCTGTTCTTCTGCTATTTTGTTATAAGAAAGGATTGAATTCAGGGCCTACACCTCGAGGCACTTCACCAGCCCTTTTTGTGACAAGTTTTTTGAGATCAGATCTCAGGAACTATTTGCCCGGGCTGTCTTTGAACTGTGATCCTCCTGATATCTGCCTCCTGAGTAGCTAGGATTACAGGCGTGAGCCACTGGTGCCTGGCTTAGCTATTAAATATCTTAAATCCAAGTTAGAGTGCTCAGAAGAGAGAGCATTTTTCACACAGAGCAGGAACTCTCAGTCAGCTAGTGCTGACTTGGCATCTCAGAGATGCCAGGATGGATGGCTCTGTGATTCCATGGCCTTTTCTTGATGTTGGTATGACTACAGCAGGTCCTGCCATCACATCTGTATCTCAGATAGGGAGAAAAGGAGGAACGGAGGAATAGTGCCAGCCAGTATATCCTCTTTTATTAGAACTCCAGACATCATCCATTTGGGTCTCTGATCAATACTGGATTACTCCCATCTACTCTGACCCTAGTTGTTACTGAAGATGGGAAGGGAGTCTAGATCATCTAGATCATCATTGCTGTGTTAGGCAAATGCAGTATGGTCATGGGATGCACAACCAGCAGACCCTGCAGCTCACCCTTCCACTCAAATCCTCTGGCACCACCTGGAGCTTTCTGACTCTCCGGGGAAACACATGTTCCTCCGTGATGGGGTGTGATCCTCACCCTGGGACCATGAGTCTGTAGCAGGCCCTCTGTCCCTTCCCTTTTATTGGTTGCCACTGCTGTAACTTCAGACTCATTTTTGAACAACAAATTCTCAACATCTGGTCACAGGTCTTATGCTGTAACTGAATCCAGTTAACACTGACTGCTTGCACAAGTCAGGTGTGTGACATCAAAATCTTGATAGACAAAGTGTTTTAAGAACTTAATATCCAGAGTGGGAATGTAGCTCAATGGTGCAGCGCTTTCCTTACATGTCCCGGTTCCATCCCCAGCACCACAAAGAGAAAAACAAAAACAACTAATATCTAGACAATTATAAATGTTCCAGAAGCAGAAGGATTTTAGAACTTGATGTTAAAACAAAAACATGCTTTCCCTGTAATACTTAACATTAGTTCCCTGTTGCTACTGTGGCAAAATCCCACAATCTAGGTACCTTGAAAAAAAACCACAGCTTTAGCTAGGCGTGGTAATACCTGTATTAGCAGCACTCAACAGGCAGAGGCAGGAGGATCATGAGTTTGAGGCTGGCCTGGGCTACATAATGAGACCCTACCTCAAAAACAAAAACAAAAAACCCACAGCTTTATTTTCTCATAATTATGGAAGTTAGAAGTCCACAACTGGCTCCTTTTGGCAGCTCTAAGAGAGAATTCATTTCCTTGTCTTTTCTAGCTCCTAGAAGCGGCCCATATTCCTTGGTTCATAGTCCTCCTTCCATCTTTAAAAGCACATCACTCTGACCTCTGTTTCCTTCATCACATCCCCTTCTCAGACTCAGGCTGTCCTATGTCTCTTCTATATGCTGCCTCTGTCTTACATAGACCCTTTAGGTAAGGTTTAGGGCTCCAGGATAATCTCCCATTTTAAGATTCCTAATTTACTCCAGTTCTGCAGCATCCCTTTTGTCATGTAAGAACACATACAGTGTTTTGGTGGACAGGCACTGTGTAAGTCATGAGCCTGTCCTCACCCCTGTTGCTCGTCTTGCTTCACTTCTCACTGTTTCCTCTCAGTGCGTATTTGGCCTCACTTGCTGCAGTTCCCCTGGCTGACTGCAGTCTCAGCCCTTCTTTCCCTTCCACTTTCCATGGCCTGCTTTCCTTCTGTGGACCTGTGGCTTCCCAAACTTCAGGCTCAGTGGTGTTGGAGGCAGCTAGGCCCCAGGTGAATTCAGGTTGGAGCCTCTCTCAAGCCTGGATGCTTTCTGCTGTTCTTCGCCATACGATATCACATCAGCACAACTGTCAGTGGCTTCAAATCTCCCTACTCTGTCTTCCTCTGTCCTATTCCCACCAGCAGCATCCGTCTGGCCCAGGGTTGGTACTAAGGTAGCATTTAATCTGGTACCTCTCTCAGCTGCCTCCCATTCAGCAAATGTTCCTGAGCACCCACCACATGCTGCCTTTGATGCTGGGAATGAATCAGAGAATGAGACAGACAAGGCCAAGCTTTGACTCAGCTTTGGTCAATGTGGGGTGGGAGATATTGCTGAGAAGTGGATGCCAATGCCAGGCATTCATCAATTGATGAAAACTAGAAAAACAAAATCTCACTTCAGGAACATAGGACAAGGTATTATGCCCCTGGAATAGCCAGGGAAGAGGTAATGCTGAGGCAGACAGATGTCCAGGTTGAGGGTTCCAGGCAAAGGAAGCAGCTTGTGCTCCTGAGAAGGGAGCAGGGAGGACATCAGCAGGACAGTGAAGCAGCCAGCAGGGAGCACAGTGAGCAAGGAGAAGTCAGAGAGGGTGAGGACAGGGGAGGACAGCACATTATCTGTCCATCATCAGAAGTGGAGTGCAGGTCAGTAGAGGTCTAACCAGAACTGACTTCTGGTGGGGACGTGGGCAGGTCTGTTTAGTTTTTTGTACAGCTTTATTAAGATATGATTGATTTTACACACAGTGTAAAATTCACATATTTTAAAGTTTGCAATTCAGTGGTGTTTGAGTGTCTTCACAAATTCTGCATCCATCACCAGTACTTAGTTCCAGAACATGTCATCACAGTATTAGTCACTTTGAGCCACCACAGCAAAGCCCCACAGCCTGGGTAGTTTAAACAACAGATATTTATTTCTCACAGTTCTGAAGGCTGGATACTGACTTGGTTCCTGATGAGGGCCCTTATTTGCAGATGGCTGCCATCTCTCTGTATACTCACAGGGTAGAGAGAGGAAGGATCAGGCCTTTGGTATCTCTTCTTAACGAAGTGCACTAATCTAACCTGGACATGGTGGCAAATGTCTACAGTCCCAGCACTCTTAAGGCTGAAGCAGGAGGATTGAGAGTTTGGGGCCAGCCTGGGCTACATAGGGAGACCCTGCATCAAAAGTGTGTGGTTTGTTTGTTTGTTTGTTTTTCGGTGGTGGGGGCTTAATATATCATGAGGACTCCACCTTCATGACCTAATCACTTCCCAAAGTCCCATCTCAAAAATACCATCACATCCTGGACTAGGACTTAAACTTGAATTTAGAAGGATATAAATGTTCAGGTCATTACACTCACCTCAAAAGCTGCTCATTAGAAGGTACCTCCATCTTTCATAGCCCCTGGCAGCCCTAACTATCTCTGTCTCTATGGATGATGTGCCTTTCTGAACTTTGTATAAAAATGGATTCTTAGAACACATGGCTTTGTGTCATGTGACATGTGAATGGTTTCAAAGCTCTTATATGTTGAAGATATGTCTACACTTTGTTCTTTTTTATGACTACCCATTGTTTGGACTGTCCATTTGTTAGCCACTCATCCGTTGATGGGCATTTGGGTTGTTTCCACTTTGGCTTAAGAATAATTAGTGCTGCTGGAAACATTCATGTGTGGACTGACTTGTGTTTTATCAGACCCTTCATCCCCCTCCCCACTGGCCCAGTGATGTGTAGAGTTGAGTTTGGATGCTTGAAAGAGTAGGGGGCCTTGGGACTAGTCAGCCTCAGCTCCTCTAGCACCTCTCTGATGGCCAGGCTCTCATTTTCCATTGACTCCCTCCATCAGTCACTGAGACAGGTATTTTTGAGTACCTACTACCTGGTACCTCTGATCACTGACTTGACATTCATATGATGAGATAGACCCTGAATGAATGGACATATGATGTTATCAAGGCAATGCGTGAGCAGGTGAGGGGCTTGACAGGGCTGAGGGTGAAGCAAAGCATGGTCCCAACAACATCCACATCCTGATCTTCAGACCAGTTTGCTGGGTTATTGAATAGGCCTGATATAATCATAAAGGTAATTATAAGAAGAAGGTCCTGATTTCAAAAAAAGAAAGTAAGAGGGTCAGAGTCAGAAAAGGCTGTGTGACAACAGAAGCAAAGACTTGAGAGAGTTGAAGATGCTACACTGCTGTCTCCCTTGATTCTCCTCTAGAGCCTCCAGGAGAAGTCAGCTCTGCCGACATCTGAATTTTAGGACTTCTGCATTCCAGAATTGTAAGATGCGAAGCATGTGTTACTTTAAGGCACTAAGTTTGTGGTAAGTTGTGACAGCATTAGACAGGAAACTAGTACATTTTCACCAGTAACTGGCCCAGGAGTGAAGCTTTATTTTAGGGCAGGGCACTTGGTATCACAGTAAGAGAGTCAAGGAACTTGCCAGGCAAGTCATTAGATCCAGGGAGGTCATTAGAATCCTGGATCAGCAGCAAAAGTCTAAGATTTTTCCCACAACTTCTCAGAGCTCTTTGGTTTTCTTTCAGATTGGGCACTTGGACCTGAAGACTACACTTCCCTCAAGGCACAGGACCTCCCTAAGGAGGAGCCATCCCCCAGTACAGAGAGGGAAGAGCTGCCGAAGGAGGGCCCATGTCCCTCCATGACTGGGGGAGCCTGGAAGCATGAGGGTCAGCACCAGGCACTCAGAAAGAATCCGAGTAACTTGAGGCAATTGGAATTTAGCCTCAAGGAAAGATCAATTCAGAGTCAGGGCTGTGAAAGTCTCAGACTTGGGGAAAACTGTGTCCTAAGTTCAAACCCAGATCCATTCCTGGAGATTTCTAGGAAAAAATATTTCTCGGTTTACGACTCACAAGTTAAAGACTCAGAACATAATGCAGGCTTAGTCAGTCAGCAGACAAGCTCCCCAGGAACACAGTTCTGTGATGACCGTGGCTGTCCCAAAGCCTCCAATCAGGCTGTGCATGTTACAGAGCTCAGAAAAAGCCAGGTGCAAGATAAACCCTACAAATGCACTGACTGTGGAAAGTCATTTAACCATAATGCACACCTTACAGTGCACAAGAGGATCCACACGGGAGAGAGACCTTACATGTGCACAGAATGTGGGAAAGCCTTCAGCCAGAACTCCTCTCTCGTTCAACATGAGCGAATCCACACTGGAGATAAGCCTTATAAGTGTGCCGAATGTGGGAAGTCTTTCTGCCATAGTACACACCTTACTGTCCATCGGAGAATTCACACTGGAGAGAAACCCTACGAGTGTCAGGACTGTGGGAGGGCCTTCAATCAGAACTCATCCCTGGGGCGGCACAAGAGGACGCACACTGGAGAGAAGCCATATACCTGCAGTGTGTGTGGGAAATCCTTCTCCCGGACCACTTGCCTCTTCCTGCACCTTCGGACTCACACAGAGGAGAGGCCATACGAGTGTAACCACTGTGGGAAGGGCTTCAGGCACAGCTCCTCCCTGGCCCAGCACCAACGGAAGCATGCTGGGGAGAAGCCCTATGAGTGCCGACAGAGGCTGATTTTTCAGCAGACACCAGCTTTAACAAAGAATGAGTGGTCAGAAACCCTCGGCTGTGACCCATCTTTGAATCAGGATGAGAGGACTCACCGGAGCAACAGGCCCTTTAAATGTAGTCAATGTGGGAAATGTTTCATTCAGAGCTCTCACCTCATCCGACATCAGATAACTCATACCAGGGAGGAGGAGCCCCACAGACGCACCCGAAGACGTGAACAGTCCTGTGGTCAGAACTCACAGCAAGTCCGGCATCAGCACCCAAATTCAGGAGAGAACCCTGTGGACCCAACAAAAACAGAACAGCCAGCAAGCAGGGCTCTGGCCTTGTTTGACATCCATGAAATCATGCAGGAGAAAAACCCTGTGCATGTTATTGGTGTAGAAGAGCCTTCCATGGGTACTTCCATGTTATTTGACATCAGAGAATCCACATAGGATGGAAACGCTTCAGATGGCTTTTGGACTTCAGGTACAAAAATGTGGTAAGTTCATAGTGTGTTCATGGCAAAAGAGACTGGGGTAGAAATGCCAGCGGTGATGCTGTCTTTGTAAGGAAGTGGTGCTTCCCAGATACCTGAGGTTGGTGGTTTCCAAATCTGTCAAGCCCAATGCCCCTTTTAACAGATATATTATGATGTTTTTATCCCCAAATGAGCTTACCGTGAGGAAACCTACCCATGGGTATAATGTAGAACAATCAATATATGCCCCCATTTTGTAAAGCATACTTAAAATGAAGGTAATTTATGATTAAAAAAAAATGTGTACTGAATTGATGTGGTATCCAGCCATGTCATTTGGGGGAGATCATGTGTGAAGTTGAGTTAGCATCTCAGTTCACACATTACACACGGGATTTTCACACCTACATCTGTGGTCCACTGGGACCAGTTCTGTGCTTCACAGTCATTGCAGCTTCCTTGGGTTCTGCCCACATTTCAGTCACACACAGCCCAAGTCATGTGACAGAGAAGCCCCCACAAAATTCCACAACTCTCAGGGAACCGAGAATCACAGCTGCTATGACAATCATTGCCTCAGAACACCAGTGTTGCTGTAAGCCAAAAGCTCTCAACATGGTCCTTTTGCCCCTAGAGTACATTTGGTAATGTCTGGAGTCATTTTTGGTCACTTCTTAAAGAAGGTTGCCACTGGCATCTTTAGGTAGAGGTCAGAGGTGCTTGCTGCTCAGCATCCTACAGTGCCCAGGGCAGCTTCTCTACATAGAATTTTCTAGCCCTGAATGTCAGTAGTACCTGCCTAGCAAGTATGAAGCCCTGAGTGCTGCCAAAAAAAAAAAAAAAGAAAATAGTACTAGTGTAGAGAAGCCCGGGTGCAAACTCAGCCCGGCAGTAAAGCCAACATTTTCTAAACTCTGTAACTTGATTGATCAAAGCTGTATAAACAATCATGTATGTTTGGTTTTAACAAATGGAATCATTGGCTAGTTTATACACAATGTACTTTTCAGTATATCCACAGTTTTGCAGAACTCATAATTGGTGTGAATAATCTATGTGGTTTTCTGACTAATCTTTTAGCATCTTAATCGTGAATGTTTTAAAAAGGAACAACATATTTTCATTGGCTCTTCCACCACCCCAGTTTCTACCTATATTACTTTACATCAGTCCAAAAAAAAAAAACATTGTTTCATCCATATTTCTAAATATGTTTCCAAAAGGCCAAGTTTTCCATGTAAATATTTCCAGGCAATAGTGGCCAGGGATAGTGGCTCACACCTATAATCCTAGCTACTCAAATATCTGGACGATTGAGGTTCAAGGTCAGCCTAGGCAAAAAGTGAGACCTATATCAACAGACAAGCCGGACATGGTGGTGTGTGTCTGTGATCCCAGCTAGTTAGGAGGCATAGGTAAGAGATTGGGGTCCAAGTTCTGCCCAGGCAAAACCCCATCTGAAAAATAACTACAGCAAAAAAACGCTGGGGGTGTGGCTTAAGTGCTACAGAATCTGCTTAATAAGTGCAAGGCCCTGAATTCAAACTCCAGGACTGCCAATATCTATATATATAAAACACAGCTGGACCTGAGTTCAATCCCAGCAATGCCCTGAAGTTGTTGTTCATGTTCTTCACTTGCAGTAATGGGAAACAAAGTTCATTTTGCTGAGTATCTGTGATGAATCAGGAAAAACAATATATTGTCCTTATCATACCTAAGCAGATGTCATCAAATAATCTAGTATTCAAATTTTCCTGGCTTCTTGTAATTTTTTTTCTGTTTGTTCTAATAATTTGAATAAGGTATACACGGTTCATTTAGTTGATTTTTTTTCTTAAATTTCTTTTAATCATGTTTCTTATTTAGTTTTTTATTTGTTGGGGAGTAGGGGAAAAAACAATAACCTAAGTTTTTTCCCATCCAGGCTGACCGTTGCACTCTCCTTGCTGTGGTGTGGTTGACTGACTTTTTTTTTTTTTTTCAGTAATGGGTTTGAATGCAGGGACTCACACTTGCTAGGCAGGCCCTCTTACCACTTAAGCAACTTCGCCAACCTGTGGACTGACTTCTGATTTGTCACGAAGCTGTGCTGGGGGGCCCTTTGAGGTCATGTGTCTCCCACCTCAGAGGTCCCACAGAGGCTTGGACCTCTGTGAGGGGACCATTGGAGGCCTTTCTCTGATCTATCAATGCTAGGGAAAGCTGGAACTTATGTTCATATGAAGCAGGACATTCTAATGTCCACAGTGGGAAACTTCACCCTCACTATGATTGCTTTCCTCCAAGTGATCTCCTTAAGGAAAGCCAAGGTTTCTGATCTGTGTCCATGTGGTTGTTGACATAAAGAGAACATGATATGTCAAGTGTAGTCTATTTTTTTTCTTTTTGGTGGGATTGGGGTTTGAACTCAAGGCTTCACATTTGAAAAGCAGGCATTGTACCACCTGAGCCACACATCCAGTCCATTTTGCTCTGGATACTTTGGAGATAGGGTCTGGTGAACTGTTTGGCTGGGCTGGCCTTAAACCCACATCCTCCAGTCCTCAGCCTCCCCAGTATACAAGATTACAGGTGTGAGCCACTGGTGCTTGGATTAAGTGTGGTATCTCAGAACAGGTGTTGTAAAATCCAAGGATACAAGCTTTTTTTTTCTTTTTGGGGTACTGGTGTTTGAACTCAGGACCTCACTCTTGCTAGGCAGGTGCTGTACCACCTGAGCCATGCCTCCAGCCTGTTTTGCTTTAGGTTATTTTTCAGGAACAGTCTCACACTTTTTGTCAGGGCAGTCCTCACACCAAAATCCTTCTTTGCCTCCCAGGTAATTGGGATTGCTGGCATGCATCACCATGCCCAGCTTTTGTTTGGTTGAGGTAGGGTCTTGCAAACCTGTTTGCCTTGGCTGCCCTCAAACCATGATCTTCAGGATCTCTGCCTCCTGAGTAGCTCGGATTGTAGGGGTGAGCTACCATGCCCAGCACTAAATCTACTTTTTAACCTAAAATGAAACAAATAGTGAGCTGTCATGAACCCATATCCTGTCTATAGAAACATTGAATCAGGTGCTCTGGTTGTACAGAGCAGTTGCCTGTTGTGCGCTGCTGTAACAAGGTCGTTCTTTTGTTTGGTGTTTCCCTGCAGGTACATCTAGTGAAGTTAAAGCATACCATCAACATCAGAAATTGGAAGGAAGGAAAATGGATCATGGCACATCTCAGCATGTAAAAATTTGTTCCTAAAAATCAATTGCAGGAGGAAGGTTGGATCTGCTGGGTGTAGAGTTGACTGGAAGATTAATCATCCTGGAAGAAAACACAACAGCAGTTCTTGTACCATGTTGGAACAGTTGTGCGTCAGAACACACTGCCATCAGAACTTCCTGTGTCTTTCTTGTTCTTAGAGGCTGGGAGTGCCATGACTGATGGGGTTTCCATTGCCCTAGACCTGGCTTCCAGGATGCCGTGGATCAGCTTTTCAGTTCCATCTGGAGGTTCTGCAAGGCCCTGTCAGCAGCCCAAGTTGCTTCTCTGCATTCACCTTTTCCTCACATTGTGTTCATGTCTCCATTTCCAGCCCTGGATTTTCACAGCTGACCTATCTTGGCCTGTGCCTTTTGCTATTTCATTCTCAGCAGATTAACTTTCACTTACATAGCTCAGAAAAGAGCATCTTCTGGCAGACTTTCCCTCTGCAATGATTCTGTAAAGGAGTGCTACTTCACAGATGAAGAATATTAGGCACAGGCCAAACGTTACTAGTAACTAAACCAAGGTTACACAGGTAGGAAGTAGTGGAATCAAAATTTGATGTTAGCACCCAGTTGACAGTGTCTGAAACAAATTAGGCTTTGTTCAAAAGCTGACTTCGATGACTTAGTTGTGTCAGAGGCAATGTTTTTTGTGGTTCTTTTCAACCTTTCCTTCATGGTCATGGGGAGACTGTCAAAGCTCCAACCATTGCACCTGTAATCAAGACTGGAGGAAGTGGAGGGAAAGGGAAGGCCAACACTCATCTCTCTAATGTTTCAAAGAAAAGATTTTCCTAGAAGTTTCCATTTCGTGCCCACTTATGACTCACTGGCCAAGACAGTCACAGAACCATCCCACTTAATGGGGAAGCTTGAAAAGGTAGCCTTGAGCATATCTGACCTGGTGGATACAGGTAAGAGAGAAAGGTACTGGGAACTGGGTGATGGATAAACAGCTAGTAGCATGTGTCCCTGCTCCTCCAGACCCTTGGAAGAATCACCTGTGCTCCCTATTTCCTTGGTGCCAGCTCTCACCTCAGTCCCCTTACTCTGCCCCTGCTGCCTCACAGAAACCACATGGCATAGCTACATGGCATCACGCCTTGGTATCACCTTCATCTGACTGTGGCATCACTGTCTGAGCCTGCCAACCTCCTCCTTGCAGTACTCGGGCCCTATTGTTCAGGAATTCCTTTCTCTCCTCAGGGGTTCTGGTCCTGTCCTCCTCTTAAGCGTTGGGATACCTGGGGGTATCAGGGGCTCATGTTGTGCCCAGGCCTTTTCCCAGGTGGCATCCACACCCCTGGCTTTGTGTTGCTCACCCCATACCTGAGTGTCTACTGCTTCTTGCTTCTGAGCTTCAGGCCCAGACTGCAGCTGTCTCCTATTGGGTGGCTCCCAAACCCAGTCTACTCAAACAAACATCCCTTTTCCCATTCAGACTGGTCCCTTCCACTGGCCCTTTCATGGGATGGTGCCCACCTGCTATCCCATCTTTGAAGCCAGAAAGTCACCCTTCTTTGATCTCCTCTCCTTCCTTACTCCACAATAGAAATTGCATTTACCATATTAACAGCTGGGGTGTTCACTGTGTGCATCCCCAGGAGTACTGCCAGCACAGGACAGCCAAGAGGGAAGGCAACACACAACCAAGTGCCCCAGCTACTCTGATAGCACACCCCACTTTTGCCCATTCCTCCCCATTGCCCATCAGAAGTGCTCCTCTCCTCCTGGTGGTGGGAAATATGCAGCAGTTATGTCAAGGTTTCAAACAGCTCTGGAAGCCAGGACTGTGATTGCCTTGTTCTCTGCACATTGGCCCTCAAAACGGCAGATACTGAAGAGGGGGTCATGTTCTGTCACTTCTCAGATTGGATGTTGAAATGGCTGAGAGTGCAGCAGCCCCACTGGGTAAGACGAGAATGAGCAGCAGTGGAGGGAACAGGCAGCAGGATCTGCATATCTTCATTTCTCATTTCAGTTCACCTTGTCCAGGCATGATACTCCTTCTTACTTCCTTGTAGATATTTTGAAACAAACTCCTCAGGGGAAATTACCGTAAACAGGAAAATTCATGGTTTTATCTGTTAACACATTCTTTGTAGCAAAACGCGGAAAATATGCAAAAAAATTTTAAAAGCAAAAAACTATGAATATTTATTTAAATTTAACTATTCATAGTTCAGCCATCCAGAGATGGTCATTACTATTTAGATTTTGCCAATTTTCCTTGAAATTTTTTCTTAAGATACATACACATAGTGTACCTTAAGTCTTAAACATAGATATATATGTATATAGTTATCTTGTGTTTAGAAATTTGAAATCCTTTCTAGTTCTTTTGTAATACGTGCTTCTTACTATATGTTGAGCATTTTCCCTAAAACGAGTTTCATGTGGCTTTTTAAAATTATTTTTCAGGAGGATTATACCATTCCTTGTAGTTTACCAGCCTTGAGTTTTCTCAGGGGGATTGGAGGTGTTTCCTGTATATGTGCAGCAGGAGTGTTTATTAATACAACTTCTGTGGAGGGAAGGGCAGTTTATCAGTTACCATCTAAGTTACAATATACAAATCCTTTGTTTGCTGGGAATAAGCCCTGCAGACATATTTGTACATGTTCCGGCTGTTGGTACATGGTTTTCATTATGCAAGTAAAAGTAAAAGATTCAAAACAACCTTCTTGTCCATCATGGAGAACTGGCTAAGAATTTATGGTGGAATAGAGGTTACAGCCTTAAAATTGGAGACTGTGGCCTTGTGCTGGTGGCTCACGCCTGTAATCCTAGCTACTCAGAAGTCGTAGATCATGAGGATTGAGGTTCAAAGCCATCCCCCAGGAAATAGTTTGTGAGACCGTATCTCGAAAGTACCCCCCAAAAAAGGGGCTGGTGGAGTGGCTTAAGTGGTAGAGCGCCTGCCTCGCAAGCATGAGGTCCTGAGTTCAAGCCCCAATACTGCCAAAAAAAAGAAAAAGAAAAAAATGGAGACTGTCCTATACTAACATGGCGAAAAGCTCCATGATACCTTAAGTAAAAACAAACAATATGTAAAACTGTATAGTATGTTCCCACATGTGCAGAGAGGTAACGTTTGCTTACACACATGCACATGATCTCTGAAAAGGTAAGAAGCAAGGTGTACTGACTGCCCTTGGGAAGAAGAGAAGGGACAGAGATGAGAAATAATTTTCATTCTATATTTTTTTTATATTTTTGGAATTTTGAAATGTAAAAGTATTACCAGTTCAAAAAATAAATTTAAATTTAACAAAAAATCTCAACTCTCAAAGTTTTGTTTTATTGTTTACCATCTGCCTCCCCATGCCAGAATGTCCACAGAGCAGGAACTACTGTGTGTCTTTGTCACACCTGTTTTTTATATACTTGTGTGTTGATTTAACAAAGCCAATTGAGTGCATGCAAAACAGCTTCTGCTCTTTGTTGATACCAAAGATGAAAAGTGGCTGGAGCCAGACACCGGTGGCTCACGCCTATAATCCTAGCTACTCAGGAGACAGAGATTGGGAGGATCACGGTTTGAAGCCAGTGGGCAAACATTTGGCAAGCCCCTATCGAAAATACCCATCACAAAAAGTAGCATAGTGGCTCAAGGTTTAGGCCCTAAGTTCAAGCCCCAATACCATTAAAAAAACAAAACAAAACTGGAATCCACATGTAAATTTCCAACTTACTTTATTAATTCTCTGAATCAGTCAGCCCAACACATGTTGTATAGGAGATCCTCCAACATAAATTGTGGCCAACAGCCAAGTCCTCCACTCCCAATGGTAAGTGCATATCCTCCAAGATACTCTAGTTTTTCTGCAATGGATATCTATGAAGAACTCTACATCCAGTCTGACTAGCCACCTTCCTATCAGTTTCTTATAAGAAGATCCAACATGAACATCTTCTAGAGTGCATTTTCCAATGTTACCAACTACATGTAGCTGTTTAGGTATAAACTGAGGGCTGGCCACCTGGCACAAGCAGTAAAGCACCTGCCTACCAAGCATGGAGCCCTGAGTTCAAATCCAATACTGAAAAAAAAAAACTATGTATAAAAATTAAGTACAAAATTCATTTCCTCCATGGCTAGTCATTTTAACTAGTTACACTTCTATGACAGAAAGTTCTATTGAATAGTGCTAGTCTAAAGGTAAGTGACTGATAAGATTTTTTTTTCTTTTATTATTCATATGTGCATACAAGGCTTGGTTCATTTCTCCCCCCTGCCCCCACCCCCTCCCTTACCACCCACTCTGCCCCCTCCCTCTCCCCGCCACCCCCTCAATACCCAGCAGAAACTATTTTGCCCTTATTTCTAATTTTGTTGTAGAGAGAGTATAAGCTATAATAGGAAGGAACAAGGGTTTTTGCTGGTTGAGATAAGGATAGCTATACAGGGCATTGACTCACATTGATTTCCTGTGCGTGGGTGTTACCTTCTAGGCTAATTCTTTTTGATCTAACCTTTTCTCTAGTTCCTGGTCCCCTTTTCCTATTGGCCTCAGTTGCTTTTAAGGTATCTGCTTTAGTTTCTCTGCGTTAAGGGCAACAAATGCTAGCTAATTTTTTAGGTGTCTTACCTATCCTCATCCCTCCCTTGTGTGCTCTCGCTTTTATCATGTGCTCAAAGTCCAATCCCCTTGTTGTGTTTGCCCTTGATCTAATGTCCACATATGAGGGAGAACATACGATTTTTGGTCTTTTGGCCAGGCTAACCTCACTCAGAATGATGTTCTCCAATTCCATCCATTTACCAGCGAATGATAACATTTCGTTCTTCTTCATGGCTGCATAAAATTCCATTGTGTATAGATACCACATTTTCTTAATCCATTGTCAGTGGTGGGGCATCTTGGCTGTTTCCATAACTTGGCTATTGTGAATAGTGCCAATAAACATGGGTGTGCAGGTGCCTCTGGAGTAACCTGTGTCACAGTCTTTTGGGTATATCCCCAAGAGTGGTATTGCTGGATCAAATGGTAGATCATGTCTAGCTTTTTAAGTAGCCTCCAAATTTTTTTCCAGAGTGGTTGTACTAGTCTACATTCCCACCAACAGTGTAAGAGGGTTCCTTTTTCCCCGCATCCTCGCCAACACCTTGGTGGTGTTGCTGATGATGGCTATTCTAACAGGGGTGAGGTGGAATCTTAGGTGGTTTTAATTTGCATTTCCTTTATTGCTAGAGATGGTGAGCATTTTTCATGTGTTTTTTGGCCATTTGAATTTCTTCTTTTGAGAAAGTTCTGTTTAGTTCACTTGCCCATTTCTTTATTGGTTCATTAGTTTTGGGAGAATTTAGTTTTTTAAGTTCCCTGTATATTCTGGTTATCAGTCCTTTGTCTGATGTATAGTGGCAAATATTTTCTCCCACTCTGTGGGTGTTCTCTTCAGTTTAGAGACCATTTCTTTTGATGAACAGAAGCTTTTTAGTTTTATGAGGTCCCATTTATCTATGCTATCTCTTAGTTGCTGTGCTGCTGGGGTTCATTGAGAAAGTTCTTACCTATACCTACTAATCCAGAGTATTTCCTACTCTTTCCTGTATCAACTTTAGAGTTTGGGGTCTGATATTAAGATCCTTGATCCATTTTGAGTTAATCTTGGTATAGGGTGATATACATGGATCTAGTTTCAGTTTTTTGCAGACTGCTAACCAGTTTTCCCAGCAGTTTTTGTTGAAGAGGCTGCTATTTCTCCATCGTATATTTTTAGCTCCTTTGTCAAAGACAAGTTGGTTATAGTTGTGTGGCTTCATATCTGGGTCCTCTATTCTGTTCCACTGGTCTTCATGTCTGTTTTTGTGCCAGTACCATGCTGTTTTTTTTTATTGCTTTGTAATATAGTTTGAAGTCAGGTATTGTGATACCTCCTGCATTGTTCTTTTGACTGAGTATTGCCTTGGCTATTCGTGGCCTCTTGTGTTTCCATATAAATTTCACAGTAGATTTTTCAATCTCTTTAATGTCATTGGAATTTTGATGGGAATTGCATTAAACATGTAGATTACTTTTGGGAGTATTGACATTTTTACTATGTTGATTCTACCAATCCATGAGCATGGGAGATCTCTCCACTTTCTATAGTCTTCCTCAATCTCTTTCTTCAGAAGTGTATAGTTTTCCTTGTAGAGGTCATTCACATCTTTTGTTAGGTTTACACCTAGGTATTTGATTTTTTTGAGGCTATTGTAAATGGAATTGTTTTCATACATTCTTTTTCAGTTTGCTCATTGTTAGTGTATAGAAATGCTAATGATTTTTCTATGTTGATTTTATATCCTGCTACCTTGCTATAGCTATTGATGATGTCTAGAAGCTTCTGAGTAGAGTTTTTTGGGTCTTTAAGGTATAGGATCATGTCATCTGCAAATAGGGATATTTTGACAGTTTCTTTACCTATTTGTATTCCTTTTATTCCTTCTTCTTGCCTAATTGCTCTGGCTAGGAATTCCAGTACTATGTTGAATAGGAGTGGAGATAGTGGCATCCTTGTCTGGTTCCTGATTTTAGAGGGAATGGTTTCAGTTTTTCTCCATTAAGTATAATGCTGGCTGTAGGTTTGTCATATATAGCTTTTATAATGTTGAGGTACTTTCCTTCTATTCCTAGTTTTCTTAGAGCTTTTATCATGAAATGGTGTTGGATCTTATCAAAGGCTTTTTCTGCATCTATTGAGATGATCAAGTGGTTTTTGTCTTTGCTTCTGTTAATGTGGTTTATTACGTTTATTGATTTGCGTATGTTGAACCACCCCTGCATCCCTGGGATGAAGCCTACTTGATTGTGTGAATAATCTTTTTGATGTGTTGTTGAATTTGGTTTGCCATTATTTTGTTGAGGATTTTTGCATCAATGTTCATTAAGGAGATTGGCCTATAGTTCTCCTTTTTGGAGGTGTCTTTGCCTGGTTTTGGGATAAGTGTAATACTGGCTTCATAAAATGTGTTTGGCAGTTTTCCTTCCCTTTCTATTTCATGGAACAGTTTAAGGAGGGTTGGTATCAGTTCTTCTTTAAAGGTCTGATAGAATTCAGGAGAGAATCCATCAGGTCCTGGACTTTTCTTTTTGGTGAGACTCTTGATTGCTGCTTCAATTTCA